GTCAGAGTAGCACATTTAAATGTGTTATACTTTCCTTTTAAATGTGTTATGCTAAGGAGGCCTGTTCTTTTCCAAGGAGTATTGCCTCTTTTTAATTGTGGTAAGATTCTAGAATAACTTCTTTCATTGTAGAGAGGATCTCAACATGTCACAGATAACTGGACTCTTAGAAACTTTGTTAATGTGGTTATATTGAACTTTTGTGAGCTTCCTTTTCCATGCACATATCTTTTGACATCTAAGGTACTTGCTATATTCTCCTTATCATATCGAGTTAGCACAATATCATCAAAGTAATGAACCAAGGTCATTTGGTATACTTTCTGAGACCAAGGACAAGAACTCCAAGGTAGGTTCACAATCCCTCTAGACTACTATAAGGTAGATAGTGGCCACAACTCTATTTATCACCCAGTATCCATAATTTCTCACCTTAATGATAATCACAGTGGTGTTTTGGATCTTTCTGAACTAGCCTATATTCAGAACCAGTTTCTTCTAGCCCAGAGTGTTTGTATATATCCCTTGGCTGAGCACAACTGACTCTGTAAATAGCTTTAGATCCTTGCAGTTAATCATGATATGTCGACTTGAGTAGATTAAGAAAAACCTAGCAGACTATTATAGTTCTGGGTGTGTCTATGGGGTAAGATCCACCCAGGTATGGGTGGCACCAACCAATAGGCTTCTAGCCTGCATGGAATTTTTAAAAGGGGAAGAAGAAGGAAGTGTGCTCATTTCTGAAGAGCTGTGTTCTTCATCATTGCCTTGAGATACTCATCTCCAGCTTCTTCAGCCTTTAAAAATAGACTTGCACCAGTGACTCTACAGTGAGCTTTCAGGCCTTTGACCTGGAGCTGCATCATTGGCCTCCTTTGCTTTGCAGCTTTTACCTTGGGCTGAGCAACTATTGGATTCTGTCTCTCCAGCATGCAGATGGCCAGTGTGGATTCTTCCACCTCTAACTCTATTAGCCTCCCCCGCAGTACACCCCCTTGCATAATTATACACATATTTTCTACGGATTCTCTTCCTGTAGAGAACCCTAACTAATCCAATACTTAAGGCCCCAGTGGCATTTAATCAAAGACCTCCACATCTGTAAACTGCCTTAGCTCTGGAAACTAGGGATCAAGTCTGGGTTTCTACTGGGACAAGGGAATTATCACATAGCATCCAACTGATTTTCTTTTTTTATCTTATTGAGTTTATTTGTACTTTTAAAGTATACAGTACAGTTACATTCATCATTGGGATCAATCCAATTAGTTCTTGTTTTCTAATAGTTCAGCACTGATCTCCAAGGTTCTGGGGATTATTTGGTTTCAAGAGTAAGGTTGTTTTTTTTTTCATTGTAGCTAATTCAAATCTAGTCATTATTCATTTAATTTAGATGGACGCGTCCTACCTGATAGCAGCTAGCATGGGTGTGAGGCCTTAGCTGCCTCATATTTCTTCCAAGGTAAGTGACTTCCCAGCTACCGTTTTCCAAGCATTGGCTCATCCTTCCAACAGTGGTGTAAGGCTGTGCTGGGCCATGGAATGTTGCCAAGTTTCTTCCCTGTGGGCAGAAAAAAACCCAGGCAGGGTACAGGAGAGATTTTTCTTCTGTCTCAAAACTCCTGAATATGGTCTAAAAGTAGTTTGCTTATTTTAAAATTATATATAAATGGGATCATATAGTATGTATTCTTTATTTTTTTATTTTTTATTTTTTGATACAGGGACTCACCATGAAGTGAGACTGTCCTGGAACTCACTATGTAGCTCCGGCTGGTCTCGAACTCACAGTGATCCTCCTACCTCAGCCTCCCGAGTGCTAGGATTACAGGTGTGTGCCACCACGCCTGGCTATTAGTAGGTATTCTTTAATAATGTATTTTTGCCTGGCTTTGTGAAGACATAGTTTATTCCTCTACATTGTTGTGGTGTTTTACTATACACATGGCCTGTTCTTTATCCATTTTGCTGTTGATGGGTGTTTAGGTTGCTTCCAGTTTGGGATAATTATGTCTGATACAGTTAATAATATTGTTTGGGGCCTGGGATTTAGCTCAGTGTCATTGTGCCTGCCTTGCAAGCATAAGGTCCTGAATTTGATCCCTGGTTAAAAAAATATATATTCTTGTACACGTTTCCTGTGTACATACATGTGTGCTTGTCAAAGCTGCTGGTTTTCAAAGTGTGGTTCCTGGACTAACAGCATCAGTATAATCTGCGAATTTCTTCATTTTTAAATTAGTTTAAATTAATTAATTAATTTTTTTAGACAGAGTCTCATTATGCAGTTCAGGCTGGCCTTGAATTCACTATGTAGCCTAGGCTGACCTTGAACTCACAGCAATCCTCCTGCTTCTGCCTCCTAGGGGCTGGGATGATAGGCGTAAACCACCATGCCTAACTTCATCTGAGAATTTCTTAAAGGTAGCCTCAGGTTCCAGACCTACTGAATCAGCAACTCAGAAGACTGATCTCAATAATCTGACTTTAACAATCTCTCCAGGTGATAACAATGCATGCTGAAGTGTGAGAACCATGCCTCTAGGCTCTACGCCTGTGAGTTGAATTGATGAGCCACAGGTATATGCATGTTCAACTTTAATTACTAATATCAAACTGCTTTCTAAGTTAATTGCACCAATTTATACTCAGACCAACATCATATGAGAGTCTCAGCTGAAACACTTTTTAGTACTTGGCAAGTTTTTTTTTAAAAAGTAGCAATTCTGTTGGGGCATAATAGTATATCATTATTTTAATCTGCATTTCTTTGGTGGCTTATGGTTTTGAGTACCTTTTATTAAGTTTTTATAGATCATTTTCAAAGTGCCTGTTTTAGTCTCTTGCCCATTTTTCTGTTGGCACGTGTGTGTGTGTGTGTGTGTGTGTGTTGTGTTGTGTGTGTGGTACTAGGGATTGAATCTGTGGTAGGCAAACATTGTACCACAGAGCTACATCTCCAGCCATTATTATTTTTTTTTTTTTTTTTTGGTGGGGTATACCGGGGATTGAACTCAGGTCCTTTTGCTTGCAAGGTAGGCAGCAGAACCACTGAGCTAAATCCCTGGCCCACCATTCATTTTTTACTACTTATTTATTTTTATTTTGAGACAGGGTGTCACTGTTGCCCAGGCTGGCCTGGAACTTGTGATCCTCTTGCCTCAGCCTCCAAATATCTGGGATAACAGGAGCATACCACCTTGTCTGGCTCTATCTTTTTTATTTTTATTTATTTATTTTTTTAGACAGGATGGCTTCAAACTCACTGTGTAGCTCAGGCTGGCCTTGAACTCACAGTGCTCAGGTTGACCTCCTGCCTCAGCCTCCTGAGTGCTGGGATTACAGTCATGTACTGCCACACCTGGCTCTCTAAGGATTTTAAAGAATGATTTTTTTATTGATTTGTAAGATTCTTTAAATATTCTGGACACAAAATCTTGTTTTTTCTTTTTTTCTTTTTTTGAGACAGGGTCTCACTATGTAGTTGAGACTGACCTGGAACTCCTATGTAGCCCAGGCTGGTCTCAAACTCACAGCGATCCTCCTGCCTCAGCCTCCCGAGTGCTGGGATTACAGGTGTGCACCACCACACCCAGATCTGGACACAAGATCTTTGTAGATCTATGAGTAGCAAAAATATTTTCTAGTATATGTTTTCCCTTTCATTCTCTTAATGATATTTTTGCTGATCCGATATTCTTAATGTATCAAATACATTAGATTTTCCTTTAATGCTTCTGTTTGTTTCCCCTTTAAGAAATCTTTTCCAACCCTGAGTTCATGAAGATTTTCTTATAATATCTTATAAATACTTCATTGTTTGACTTCTTTACATTGGCATATAATTCAACTGAATTCTATTTTGTGTACGTTATAAGTTGTGATGGTTCGGCTTAATTGTCAACTTGATTGGCTTAGAGGCTGTGTAGGAGATTACAGTAGTAAAACATACTTCTAGGTGTGTTTGAGTAGAGTCATGAAGGCCTGACCTTGGGGATTATATATGGTCTCTGGCCCCCTTTTATCTGGTGCTATTTTGCTGATCTACCTCCTAGCTTCCTTGAACTAAGTAACTTTGCTCCATCATGCTCCTTTACCACGATGGTCCTACCCTGAAGATAGCTGAATCTTCTGAAATCATGAGCTAAAGTAAACCTCTTCCTTTGAGTTATGGGTATTGGGTATTTTGACCAGCAATGGGAAAACTGTTTAATACAGCCTTCATCTTCTAGCTCTTTCTATCATCTTCCTTCTATGCAGATCTGTCTCCAAATTTTCCCTTTTTATAAGGGTATAAGCTACGTTGGAATGAGATCCATGCTAATGATCTCATCATAACTAATTACATCTGCAACAGCTTTATTTCCAAATAAGGTCACATTCTGAGGAACAAGTTATTTGAATTTCAATATATCAGTATTGGAGGGGACGGAATTCAATCTGTAATGATTACCAAGGCTTAAGAACTCATCCTTCATAATATCCCTTATGTGTCCTCTTTCATTCACATTCAGGTCTTTGTGTGGCTTATCTCATCATTTCTAAACAATTCCCATCCTTCTTCTGCTCCCTGACCAAAATCATTTTGCAGAAATGTGAGAATACTCTTAAGCACAACTTTCATTGACATTACTTTGATCTAAAACCTTTGGTGGCTCTCTAATGTCTGTGAATTACGATCCAAATCATGAGCATAGTCCTCTACAATATGAACTAAACCTACTTTCCTTTCAAAAGTTACCATTTTTTCTACCCATTTTCTCTGTCCCAGAATTATCAGGGTATTTAAGTTTTCCTATACCTTTTACCTTTCAATCTTCACTTTGCTCTGGGGATGGAGTCCAGTTTATGGACGCCAGAGGAGAATTTAGATTTTTAGGATAAGATTGACAAAGTGGACCAGGTGCGGAGACCCTTGCCTGTAATCCCAGCACTCAGGAGGCCAAGGCAGGTGGATCACCATAAGTTAAAGTCCAGCCTGAACTATATAGTGAGACCATGACACACAAAAAGAAAAAAAAAAAGACTGACAAGGTATTTTGGTGATGAGTTACTTACATGAAGAGAGAATGGCACACACAAAGGCCCAGGAACACAAGCCAGCTGGACACATTTTGAGAAACACAATTAGGAGTGAATTGCCAGAGAAAATAGGATGACAGAATGGGGGAAAACACTGTAGCACCAGAAAGGTTGATGAGACAAGAATTTCATTGCTTTGTGGGCCAGATAAATTGTTTGGGCATTTTTCCTATTAAAGAATAGAAAACGATCATAACAAAACTCCACACTTTATCTTATTCACAACTGTATTTCTAGGGCTTAGAAGAGTGTCTAGCATATCATAGTTTTATTTTGGGTTGACCCAAAGGAGATAAGAAATTTGGCATAGGTAGTATGGGAGGTGGTCCCTCTCTAGCGTTCTCAAAGGAGGGACAGGAAAAATCAATGTATTAAGGAAGGAAAGTCAATAATATTAAGTGTGCTGTTCAACAGGTTGCACTGTAGACAACTGGGCTGGGAATCATCAGGCATCCTCTAAAGACTCAGACTGAATGTCTTTCAGAATTGTCCACTATACTTTGAAGGAATCTGGAATATTTTTGCACTAAAGTTAGTCTTTCACAGATTGAGAGTTGCCTTTGGGAACATTGAACCCCAGGTACTTTAGGACTGCCTGGAGTTCAGGGAGGCACAGTCCCCAGCTTTCCAAAACACAGCAGGATGAAAGGCAGAGTTCCAGGGCTTGAGGGAGGTAAGGTGTCAGCAGATATGGAAGCTGTCCACCTGCCTCTGTAGGTGAATGGTGGTATGGGCCATGAGATATCACTGCATCTCCTCCCAGCAGATACCTGCATGAAGCTATTGCATTCACGGCTTACTTCTCTGACTATTCTTAAAGGTCTTGGAAGGTAGAAACCAAATATACTTGTAAAGGTCAGACAAATGGAGCACAGGTATATTGATTAGCTTTCCATTGCTGGGACAAAATACCTGACATACACAACTTAAAAAGTTTATTTGGGCTCATGGCTTCAGTCCATGGTTGACTGGCTCCAAGACAAAACCTCTTGGCCAAAAGGCAAGTGAGGAAAACTTCTTAACTCATGGCATCTAGAAATCAAAGAGCAGGGGCAGAGCCAGAGACAAAGGATCCAGAGACTAGGTAAAGTCTCCAAGGTCACTCCCCCATGAGCCACCAACACACGCACAGAAATGTGCTTTACTAGTCTCCTAGGAGTCTCTCAAGCCAATCAAGGTAGCCATCAAGATTAACTATCACAACAGGATTTGAGAATAAACAAGAAGGAAAGGAAGGTGTAAGGGGGGAGCATGGAGGAATGACAATGATTCAGTAATTTGATGACAAAAAGTAACAAATGAATTTGACTGTTCTTGTGTTGAATTAGTTGTGTCCTTGAACACAAGTAAAAGGGTGAGGGGTAGCACAGGGGAATTACTGAGAATCTGTGTACCAAGAGCTAGTTACATCTGGGAGCTTCACTGGGTAAGATGTGGTGCGGTCATATACCAATTCCTTGTGGCGACTCAATCTTGATACGCACCTGTCCATACACGCTTATGCATTTCTTTTTTTCCCTCCCAGTACTGGGGATCAAACTGAAGGCACAGTGCCACTGAGCTACATTCCTGGCCCACATTTATGCATTTCCTTTTTTTTTCCTCCACTTATGCATTTCTAATGAGTGTGAAAATGCTCTGGGAAAAATAAAGCTCAGCAAACAAAACAAAACAAAACATTCTGGTATTAGGTTGGGTTGGGAAGGGGTAGCCATATTTCCCATTCTCTTTAAAGATTGCTATCAGTGCTCGATTTGGCAGCACATATACTTTTAAAAAAAGATTTTCCGCTATTAAAGGCAAAGCAACAAAAACCATCAACAATCGTGGGTACACTTTGAACTCAGCAGTGCTCTGCTCTGCTGATCCTCAGGGACACAATGGGTGGGATTGTCTTGACAGAGGCTTTAGAGTTGAAGGTGGAGACTCAGAACAGCAGCATCTAGGCCTGTATGTCATGGAGGATAAAAGGAATGACTAGAGGCAAATATGGAGTTCATCTCCCTGTAATATGACAGGATGGACAAACAGACACACCACGTGGCTGGAGGATGGGTAGGGAAGGCCGCCACTCTATCGATGGTACCTGCTTACTTCTCTACTTCCTGAATGGCTGATGGAAGGAAAAGGATAGAACCAGCCTTCCAGCAGCACTGAAATCTGTGTCCCCCTCATCGCCACTGTCTGACTAACTTCAGACCCCACCTAGGCTATCTCCAGATAAAGCTCACAGAAAGTGTTTGCCTGAAAGTCCATTTTAATGAGCCAGATTTGAGTCATCCAAGGACTGTTCCACTGAAGGGCAATGAGGAGGACAGTGGAGCAGGGAGGCTTCTCACATTAAGGTCTCAATCAGCGACAAGGTTGTGGCCCACAGTGGTGAATGGCCCAGAGAGGCCCTAAAAAAGAAGAAAGGCATCTTGAGTCAGGATGGCGGGAGGTGGCTGTTCCCTCACCTGCTCACTTCCTCTGATCTTCCAGTACGGGTCTGATTTGAGGAAGCCTTCCACACAGTGACTCCGCCCACCAACTGACAGCCCGGTCCCTTGGCTCCCACATACAGTTCCTCCACCCACTGGGATTTTTCCTTGAGCTGGAGAATGGCCATGCCTTTTTTGCACAACAGTAAGCAGTCCATCCCCCCTCCCCCGCCAGTTCTCTCAGCTCTGATTCTGTCACCCTAGCAACCAATCCAGCTTTGGGAAGCCCAACAGCCAGGTCAGGGAAAGAGAGACTGTTCCTCAGAAAGTAAGAGGGGCTAAGAACCCCTGAGGTTCAGGCTGCCCCTAAATGGAGGGTATGTCCAGCTCCATGGCCACCCCCCATCTCCCTGGCCCAGCATAGGTGGCTACTTACATGCTTCTCAATTTCCATTCTTGCTTTTCTCACCATCCACTCCCCAACATCATCAAGACAGCCTTTTAAGATCATGTCACCTTACAATGTCTTCCTCCATATCAATACCCCAGTTAGCCTCCCACTGTACTTTGAATAAAATCCAAGTGTTTTACTATGATCTGTGAGCCTCTTTATAGTCAGTCCTGAGTCCATTTCTCCAATATCATCTTCTTCCACTGACTTTGCTGTCTGTGCTTCTGACATGACCTGGCACACTCTTGTCTCAGGAGATGAGTGGTTACAATGCTGTCTTCCCAGAATGCCCTTCCTTTAAGTCCTCTGCTGGCTATCACCTTCTTACACTTTAGGTCTTAGCCCCAAGACTTTTTTCAATGTGGAGAAGATTGATGCTTGGAATAGAAAAGACTCTTCTGCTTAGTGTTAGCACTGCAGGACCCACTCCCATTTTCATCACTTAGACAAGTTCTCGATGATTCCACCCTCCCAGGAGAAAACAAGCTCCTCACCTCAGCAGTGTTGGTCACCTCTTTTTTCAGGGTCTTTGGAACCACTTTGGAGGTAAAGCACTGGTCTCCATTCACCTTGGGCAGTGGGCTCTGTGATGAGGAAAGCCAAGAGTCAGGAAGGAGGCAGAAAAGAACAAGAGGGAAAGCAATGAGCTACAAAGTCAGGACTTTGCAGTTCTTGGGAAGACATATGAGTCTCACCGTGGGGAATAACAGTCGAAGTTTCTCCTCTTGCTTGCCCCTGGAAGAGACAGGGATGACAAGTGGGGCTTATGCTTGCTTCCCCCCACCCCGGTTTAATGAATGCATCCTAGAATTTTTCCCTGATGATCCCAGATAGGACCTCTGAAGCATTCTCTGTCCAGTGCTCCTGGTCGCAACTACTTGCAATTTTTAACTCATTATTCTCCTGTTCTGTCCTTCAGAGAGCATGGGCCAGCCACAGGCCTCACACACCTCACTCCCGTGGTTTTAGTGGGGAGAACTGCCTTGCCATCCTTCAGGCATGGATCTTGGGGGTAGGGTCTGCTCATGTGCTCCATATTTTGGGTCATCAGATCCTGAATGATGTCATTCTTCCAGAAGAGACCTGTGGAATGAAAGAATAGTGAGTGGACACCTGAGACACTGTCCCACTCCAGGCACCAGAGCGACTTCTTGCTCAAATGCATAGAAGATCATATTTTGTGGAGAAAATTAAATGAGATGGTGTATAAAAGTTGTTTAGCATGGTGCGCAGCATGTCATATTTGATGAGCATGATGGTTATAGTTTCTGCTGATTCATTTAATGATACAGTAAGGATTAAATGAACTTAGAGATGCAAAGTGCTTATAAAACTCTGAGGCAGCAATTCTCAAGCTCCAGTGTGCATTAGAATATTTTGCAAACTTGTTTAAACACAAACTGCTGTTCCCCATAACCAGAGCCTCTGACTCAGTAGGTCTGGAGTAAAGATTAAAAATTAATATTTCTAGCTGGGTGCGGTGATGCACAACTGTAATCCCAGCACTTGGGAGGCTGAGGAAGGAGGATCACAGTGAGTTCCAATTCAAGGCCAACCTGGGCTACATAGCTCAGGGCCAGCCTGAACTATAAAACAAGACCCTGTCTCCAAAAAAAAAAGAATTAATATTTCTAACAAGTTCTTTGTTGACATTGATGTTGCTGGTTGAGATATGCTTTGAGAATTGCTGTTCTAAGGCACTGTATGCATATTAGGTTTTAGAAGTAATAATATGAACTCCAGGCAGATTTTCTATTCGAGTCTCCCTCTCATTCACAAAACTCTGCTCTAAGGAAGATTCAGCCATCTGTCTCTGATAGACTCTCCACTCCCTTTTACTCCTCCCCTCTGTTTGTCATACAATTTTCCCAGCTTCCTACTCAGAGGCTGAGATTTGTACATATTCTTCTGGCTGAGAACTTAATTATTCCATGCTTTGAAAACAATCAGTAGTGCCAGGGATTGGGATTGGCCCCAAGGAGTTGGATGCTGGCCTTTTCCAGGAGTTTCTTCTAGAAACTTCTACTAGGCACTTTCAGGTTGTTCAGGGCAAACAGCCCACCTAGCCTCTAAAACCACTCCTCTCTTGTCCCTTTCTCCACTTGGGTGAGTGTGACAAGAAAGTTTCAAGTAGAAGTATTTGAAGAAGAGAAAAACTGTCCTCAGAACAGACAACTCCTCATGACCCTCTTCCACTCTTGGCCAGGCCTCAACTACTGTTCTCCAGCTTTTACTTACCTTGGGGTACAAGCTGGTGGAGTAGAACTTGGAGGTGACGAAAGAATGGAGCAGTAAATTCTTGGAGGGGCCAGAGCTGCCCCACTTCTGATTGGCCCTGGCCATCTAAGGATGAAATAGTGGTGTCAGGAGAGATGTTGGCCGGAAGCCTTCCACATACCAGCTGAAGAGAAGCAGCTAACTTCCCTCCACTGTCATGTCTGGATTCCTTGGTCTCATTCTCTGTGCTAGGCTCCTTCCTCATCTTCAGGACTCCTTTCTTCTTCCCCCATTCTCACTTGCTCTGCCCTTCAGCCTCTGAGCCTCATTCACCCATCAACTTTCCGGTAAGGTCCAACCTTGGATGAGCAGCAGCTCAGAAAGCTACCCACAGGGGATGGCTAATCAGGTGGAGAGGCAGAGCACAGGGAAGCAGGTGAGCTGCATCTTAGGGAAGACTTTGAAGCCATGAGAGGTTGTGGAGGAGGACAGGAACCCTCAAAAGGAGAAAGCACCATCTCCTCAGTATCTTCAGGGGATTGGTTCCAGGACAGCCTACCCCATACCAAAATCCAAGGTGCTCAAGTCCCATATAGAAAATGGTTTAGTTAGTAATTTGCATATCACCTATAAACATTCTCCCATATACTTCAAGTCATCTCTTGATTATTTATAATACCTCCCACAAGATAAATCCGAGCAGTTATTTCACTGAGTTGTTTAGAAAATAATGACAAGGAAGAGCCTGTACATGTTCAGTACAGACAAATATCCCCAGATATTTTTATTGAACTGGAGGAAGCTGAATTCCCTCGAGTGGAACCGTGGGTACAGAGGGCTGACTGCACTGTTATTACAAGGCTTGAGAGTCTGCGTGGCTTTTCTGTAAGCTACAGTTTGCCCTGCTGTACATAGGGAAGAGCAGGGTCAAGGAAGATAGCCCCTAATGTACAGCACACCTTTCCCGTTCCATATAGACGAGGAGGGCCTGCAGAAGAGTCCATTTTTTTTCCTACAGTGGGATTACCATTTGTCATTCTGGTCAGGTCTTAAGAAGAGGGAACTCTCCCTAGTCAAGTGAACAATTTTCTGAACTCGGGAAGGAGCTCCAGCTCCAGCTCTCTTCTGAAAAGGAAAAGAGCTTAGGAAAGGGGAGGTAGTTCTCAGAGGCAGTGCTGCTAGAGGGGCAACCGCGACCGCCCTGGCTGGGCCAATTTGCGCGGTGCCGTTGGCGCTGTCCGTGGTGCTGAGAGCACAGGGCGCTTCCACCGGGCTCCGCCGTGCTCTCCCCCGCTCCCCTCCTCACTTCCGCCCACAGTCCTCTGCGAATCCTCTGCATTAGCCTCTGCACCCAAGAATCCGGTGAGGACAGCAGGCGTCAGAGCATGAGTTTGCGCTTAGCACCTTCAACTGCGGGCGTAGGAACTTGCGAGCCTGCGCAGTTGGCTCCGACAGTTTAGGAGTCAGCGCCGAGTCAACCCTGGATGGCGCAGAGCAGAGAGGAAGGAGGAAGCAGGAAGGTCGATCCCTTCTCACTCCGTTCTTCTGTTTTTCCCAAGCCTAGCATTACCCCTCCTTATCGAAAATCGGGTCACAGTTACCAGGCTCTCAGCTTATAACTAAGCCTTCCTCTTCCCTCCTGCCAGGACCCAGATTCTGGTCCCCTGCCTATCTCTAGCCGTGGTCATCTCTTCCCTGGACCCTCAGGGCAAATGGCTTCTCCTGTGGCCGCCTTCTGCCCATTCGTCTTCCCGACCTCCTCCCGAATACCCAATCTTCCCTGCCCCCGTTCCTCTTAGGTCCGGACAGCTTATGCCGAGATCTATGCCTCTTCAAATTGCTGTCTACGCTTATCTCTCCTTGTGCCCACAAACACATTATTTCCCTCCTTAGTCTCTTAGCCTTCAGGTCCCCAGACTCTTCTTGAAAACGCACTCTGCCCACGCCCCCCGTATTTCCTTCTGACCGTGGGGACTAATGTCGCTGCAGCACCCTGGGCAGCTGTTCAGCAGCAGGAAACAGAGGAGCAGCGGGAGGCTCCCGGAGGCTCCAGACCACAGCGGGCGCTGCATACTCCTCGGGTCCTTGTGCTCCCTCGCTTTAGTCGAAGTGAAAGTAGCTACAGAGGCTGGTGTGGGCTGTGCGGGGCGATGCTTTCCACCTGCTAGCTAGCAGGATCTGCAAAGCCCTCCTCTGCAGCGGCCAATAGGGAACGGGCGCTGCCCCTGCGGACGCCTCCCCAATTCTTCCTTCCCCTTACCTCCACCCTCCACCCAGCACCTTTTGAAATTCCTGGCCCTACTCCTTTTCGACACAAACCGAGTCCCAAAAACCGCCGCAAACACTCCCATTCCAAGGTCGGAGAAGTGAACTGCGTGTAAGATGTGGGTGGACATTGTACTTACCTCGGATCCGAATCCGTGTGACAGTTTTGGGAGTACGGCCATTTTTACTATATTGGTTCTTCCTGCCCAAGAAAAAAGGATAGTTTTCCATATTCTGATATCCTTTTTGAGCTCCTTTTTCAGAGTACTATAGTTTTCAAAGGAAAGGCCTTCTACTTCCTTCATTAGATTGATTCCTAGATTTTTTAAAAATTTATTTATTTTTTGCTACTGTGCAAGATGTTGTTTCCCTAATTTCTCTCAGGGAGTTCCTTATTTGTGTACAAGAATGCTATTTGTTTTTGAGTGTTGACTTTGACTTTGTATCCAGCTATACTACTGAATTTGGTTATTAAATCTAGAGGTCTTTTGGTAGAGTTTTGGGGGTCTTATATGTAGAGTATCATGTCATCCACAAATAATAATAATTTAACTTCTTTGTCTATCCTTGTTTTTGTATTTCTTTCCCTTGTCTAATTGCTCTGGTGAATGTTTTCAGAACTATAGGAGTGATGATAGTGGGAATCCTTGTCTTGTTCTTGATTTTAGAGTGAAGGCCTTCAGTTTTTGTCCATTTAGTTTGATGTAGGCTGTTCGTCATAAATGGCTTTTATTGGATTCCAATTTTCTGTAAGTTTTTTTAAAATCATGAGTGGATGTTGGACTTTGTCAAATGCTTTTTCTGCATCTATTGAGATAATCATATGGTTTTTGTCCTTGGCTCTGTTAAATGGTGTATTGCATTTATTGACTTGTATATGTTGAACCATCCCTGCATCTCTAGGATGAATCCTACTTGGCCATGGTGAATAATCTTCTCGATGATTTGCTTCATTCTGTTTGCTAGTATTTCACTGAGGATTTTTACATCTATGTTCATTAGGAAGATTGTCCTGTTGGTCTCTTTTTTGGTTGGATCCTTCTCTGGGTTTGGTATCAGGGCAATGCTTGCTTCTGAAGTGAATTTGGGAATATTGCTTCCCTTTCAATTTCATTAAAGAGTTTGAAAAGAAGTGGCATTAGGTCTTCTCTAAATTTCTTTGAGAAATATAAAGTTCCAGGAAAAAAGGGACTTGTTGGTTTCTAGGTAGGTTAATTACAAGTAGGTGTGGCCTTCCTCCCATTTAAGTTTTCCGTCAACCAGAGGAATAGCTATCAAAATGATACATAGAGGGCCGGGATTTAGCTCAGTGGTTCCACTACCTACTTCGCAAGTGCAAGGTCCAGTGTGCAATCCCTGGTACTGAAAAAACAAAAAAAATACATGCACATGAGCACTGATAATGCATTTATCCTTGCTACTTATTGAACAAAGATGCTAATGCTGAGAGAAATACCCTCAGAAAACCAAGCAGGTTCCCAGGTTTTGTTGAACCTAAGGTTCACAGGGAGGAATTTCTTTCCCTTAAGGGAGAAAAAGACTACCATAAGGTGCTGGAGGGCAGTGGATAGGAAAGATTGTAGTTCAGCTGCAGTCCTTGCATTCATGTTATTAATTACATCTGGAAAGAGAAAGGAATTAAGAACCTTGTTCTACCAGAACTGAAGAGCTGTGCTATCCTTGTCCACTCATCAAATGTCCCCTCCTTATTGCCTTTGAATATTGTACTTTAGAAGCTCTGGCTGAGGCCCACTCTTCTAATCTCCCGTGATTTTCTTCTGCACTTTGCATTAAGTTCTAGACCTTTTAGTATTACCTGCAAGGCCCTATAAGTTCAAATAAAGAGTTTCCATGAAAATCCACTTTTAAAATCCAGTAGCAGTTTGTCCTAGCATCACCTACCAGGCGGAAATGGGAGGTAAGGCGGGGTGGGCAGGGAAGCCTTGATCTGCTACAAATTTTTCTCAGAAATAAAAATACTCAAAGAAGATCCCAAATTGGATTTGGAATTTGACCCCCTCTGCAAGATCAACCTCTATCCCAGTACTTAAGAAGCTCTTACAGCAGTCTTTACTTGGACAGATCTTGAGGTGCAGCGACACAACAACTGCCTGACAGCAGTCTTCCCCTTCTTTCTGATTTTTTATCTAGGTATATTCAAGGACTCTGAATCTGGAAAAGAATGTCAGATTATTATTTTCTTTTTGATACTGGGGATTGAACTAGGGCCCTTGAACTCACGAGGCAGGCAGCGGAACCACTGAGCCAAATCCCCAACCCAGATCCTATTTTCATACTTAGTAGCATCATGACAACCAGTCCTCACTGGGGGATCAGTCAGTGCTAATGATATCACCCCAGCCACCACTCCAGGTAGAAGAAGCCTAGCTACCATGGTGACAGGAGGCAAAGGCAGTTTCCTTGGAAAACATGAGGATCTGCCACCTCTCTCCCAGTCCGCAGGTTCAGGCTTCTCCAGGTAGAGTATAGGTTTCTCCAGGAAGGGTAGAGGTGCTTGGCTCCACTATAATTACCAAGTTGAAGTCATTACAATCTTCTTGGGCCAAGACAGTACTTCTTAACAGGTCTATGCACTCCACTCTTGCATCTATGGACACATTCCTCAACAGTGTTAGGGAAGTCTTTTTAAAATCATGCAGGATATTACTTCAAATCCCCAGTGATTTTTCTCCAGCATTTTTGCATTAAGTTTTGGACCCTTCACTATTACCTGCAAAGCCCTGTAAGTTCAGTTCTGGGTCCGTTTCTCCAACCCCATCTCCTACCACTGGCTGTTCTGTTTGTTCCTGTAATGTGCCATGAGAGGACTGAAAAGTGATATAATAACTTAAATAAAATCTCACTGGATGAGCTCAAAGGCAGAATAAGGTTGAGAGAGAAAGTTAATTGACTTGACCATGACTCAATAAAAATGATTCAAACTGAGCAACAGAAAGAAAATCCACTGGGGAAAATAGTTAACAGAGCCTCAGGGACCTGTGGGCTATTACCAGAGGTCTAACATTCATGTCTTTGGAATTTCAGAGGAGGGGAGAGTATAGTACATGAAAAAGCTCTCGAAGAAATAATAGCCAAAGACTTTCAAAATTTGTCAAAGATGTAAACCTATAAGCTAGGCCTGGTGGTGCACACTTGTAATCCTAGCACTGTGGGAAGATCACAAATTTAAGACAAGCCAGGCAACTGAGCAACTTAGGGAGACTCTGATTTTTTTAAAAAGTTTAAAAACAAGCTGAGGATGTAGCTCAGTATAAAGGCTTTGGGTTCTATTCCCAGTACCACAAACAAACAAACAAAATCCAAAAACAAAACCCCAAACAGCCTACAGATTCAAGAGGCTCAATGAACATCAAACAGGAAAAGCCCAAAGAAATCCATATCCTGACACATCATGATCAGTCATCTAACAGTTAAAAGCAAAGAAAAATTGTAAACAGCATATTACTTGGGGGAAAGATGATCTGAATGGTTGGATTTTTCTTTATACACCATGGGGACTAGAAGTATAGTAACATTTTTAAAGTGGTGAAAGAAAGGAGTTGTCAACCCAGGACTCTATATACACCAATAATATGCTTCAGGAATGAAAGTGAAACAAAGATGTTCACAGGTTAAGTAAAACTAGGATAATTCATTGCCTGCCAAAACATCAGGAATGAAGGAAGAGTATAGAAATGAACAGTCAATAACTGAATAAATATTATAGAATGTTTTTCCCCATGAGCTATTTAAAATATGCTTGGTTGAAAGCAAAAATTATAGCATTCTCTGATGAAGTTTTCAATGCGTGGTGATATAATTGACTATCCTTGACAGATACAAATAGCATTAACTGGGGAGTATGGAGACCTCTCTGCTAGTAAGGTTTCTACATGTCACTGGAAGTGGTAAAATAGTGGTTATAAGTAGACTGTGAAAAGTTAAGTATGTATATAATAATCCCTACAGCAACTACTGAAAAAAGCTACACAAAGAAATTCAGTAAAAAAACCCACAATAGATACCTTAAAATGACATATTAAAAAGCATCCCAACAATCTAAATGAGGAAAGAGAGAAGAACAAGGAATAAGAGGAAACAAAATAAGTATGTAATGATACATGTAAAGCCAAACATACTGATAATTTTGCCTAGTCTAAGCACATCGATTAAAAGAGATACAGAGATTGACAGATTTTTTTTTTTAATAACCCAACAAAGCTGGGTCTGGTGGTGTACATCTGTAGGAAGCTGAGGCAAGAGGATCACCATGAATTCAAGGGCAACCTACAGGCTGGGGATTTAGCTTAGTAGTTCCACTACCTGCCTTGCAAGCACAAATCCTGAGTTTGATCCCTGGTACAAAAAAAGAAAACCTCATATTCAAGGACAGCTTAGGCTACATAGTGAATCCAAGGCTAGTCTGAGCTACACGAAGAGACCCTGTTGCAAAAAACAGCAGCAAAAAACAAAGCAAAACAAAAAACCCCAACATGTTTTCTGAGAAACTCACTTGAGCTACACGAAGAGACCCTGTTGCAAAAAACAGCAGCAAAAAACAAAGCAAAACAAAAAACCCCAACATGTTTTCTGCAAGACACTCACTTTTTTTTTGTTTGAGTGCAAAGATGTAGGCCAAGTTCAGTTTTTTATTAGAGTAACAGTTTGAACCTTAGAGAATTTTAAACCTGGCGTAACAGTTTAATAGCTTTCTACCCAACTCACATACATGTGTGCACAACACATACACAACTGATACACAAAACATTCCCTGAGCCAGTGATTAGAGTCTGGGCATATGTAACAGTCCCAGTTTTGCTGGGGGAAAACTGAGAAGACAGAGGCAGTATCATATGCTGTAATTCAGTTTCAGTGCCCAAAGCGAGGCAGTTGGGGCAGATATGAAAGCATTAGGGAAGATGCTGTTGTGGTGACCACTTATTTAACGTCTGAGGAAATAGTTCAGTTATTATCTAAATTATTCTTGTTTGTTGTTGTTGTTGTTGTTTACCTGGGATTGAACTTGGGACCTTGCGCTTTCGAGGCAGGTGGTAACAGCACTGAGCTAAATCCCCAGCCATTATCTAAATCATTCTTTAACTACTTTTGGTGGGAAACTGAAATCTATCTATAAAGGAAAAATTCCAGTTGGAACCAATCAAACTACTTTACATGGGAGAACAATTTGGGGTTATATGGGGACCTTCTTAAAAGTTTATAGCGTATTAAAG